GAAGGGTCTCAAGAAAGATCAAGCCATTCCTGCAGGGTCCCCAGCTCTGCACATTGCTTACTTTAGGGCTCAGAGTAGGATGACTTTCATCTGAGATCTCCCCATGCTCATCTTTGCTACACTTCAGCCAATTTCTTTTAGAAATGATGCTGAGCTCAGTGCCACTCTCCTATCAGAAGATTCCAATCTTGTCTTTTCTAATGAGCCGTGTTTTGGTGTGATAATCATCTTCCCTCCCTCTGGCCACTCTCCAAAAATCAACATATTTCTTGAAATACCGTGCCTAAAATTGGTCACTGCAGTCCACCATCCCAACATCAAACAATATGATCTCATTTCTTGCATGCATCTCTCCTGCCAGCCCACAATGACACCTACCTTTTTCCTCCCCCCACAGCTTATTATTGCTGTAACTTACCCACTCCCACTGCACTGCTGCTCTGCCAGCAATTTCCCCATTTTGTATCTGAGTGTCTGATGCCTCCTTCTAAGAACAGCACTTTGCATTCATCTTTATCAAATTTCTTCACATTCATTTCAGGCAATTTCTTTTCCCTGCACTTTACAGCTGTTTCAAACCCTGTTACAGCCCTCTGAAGTGTCTGCATGTATTCTCAAATTGGTGACAACCCTAATTTTTTTATATGGGCTATATAAGAAAATGCAGGCCCTGCAATAAATTGCATAGTGGTCTCACTTCAAATACCCTCTCTGACCACATACCAGTAACTATTCTGAGTGTAGTTTTTCTACCACATTGTGATAATTTAATCCATTTCCTCCTTTTGCTCGTCAGAAGAAAGCGAGGTGAAGAAAACATTAAATGTATCCGTTTTCTCTGAATCATTCATTATTTTTTCTCCATCCCCTCATCTTTCCTCACTTAATTATGTGCTTCCCTTCCAATTTCTGTAGTTTCATTTTGATTGATCCTTAGGAGTCCTTGCTGTGCTATTTTACCTTTACATTAGGAGATTGCTGCCGGGCCATTAACAAGCAGCTCTCTTCTATTTCCTTATCCCACCCATCATCTTCCAAACAGACCGACTGAAACTACCTTCTGAGCTCCTTATTCTGTTTCTCATTTCCCTCCTTCCTCAAGAGCATCAAATAACTGTGCAGACACTTACTTGAAGATTTTTAACCACTTGTAATAAGCCTGAATGTAATCCAAAATAGTTGAGTCTTGCACAAGACTCATACCTTCCCCATACCTTCTGAAATACAAACTCTGCTCTCTTGAAATAAATGCATTAACATGGGAAAACATGGAAAGAGTTATTTTCTCAGCAGACACTGAAGTATAAAATACTCCCCATTTCCACCAGACTTCATTTGTCTACTAAATGTCTAAAGTCTCCATCTGACTACTTCATGGGTGGCCAACATTTTGGCTTGCCCAGGCAGCAGTGAGTGGAGAGGAATTGTCTTGGGCTGCATATATATATAGGTCACTCTGAAACTAACACCTCCTACTTATTTCCATGGAAACTACAACAGGTATAATGAGCGCAGTAACTCTACTTGATAGAGAAAACTCTCAGCTACAAGACAATATTTTCCAACATAGCCAGCACCACTAGCTGTGCATCTTCACCAGCAATGACAACAGGCTGCATACCGTGCTCCTCAAAACCTGCAGCAGCAGAGGTGACCCACTGCTGTCATCGCTGCTGAAACACACCACTGCACTCACATTCATTGTTAGGTCTCCTAAACGTTCAGCAAGCATCAATGAATGTCAACAGGCACCATTTCTTTTTTTGCATGAGAGAATTCAGTGGCACACCTTTGCTTCTTCTGTACTTCCATGTCAGACACCATTTTCTCAGACTGCCCCTCTGCTGCCATCTGTCACACAGCAACAAAACGTAAATGGAATGTTGGTGGGAAAGGTCAACCTCTACTGCCATACCACCACCATCCACCTCTGATGTTCTGGGCCAACATAATAAAATAGCAGGCATTACTTTAAGAGCTGCCCTTGTAAAATATGTACTACAGGGAGAACAACAAAAACATAGAACTAGTGGGATATGCAGTCTTGTTTTAGTGAAACTAATGCATCAATTTGATTCAATGGCAGGGGTTGCAAGTCTAAGTGAGTTCTCAAGGTGCTTATCAGAGATTTTCTTAACGAAATGTCGCTCCTCCCGTACTTCATTCTTTACAACAGTTGCTCACAAAAGTACATACCGCCAAAAGCAATAGCACACATAAAGCGTGGCTGTAAGCCAAAGTATGAAAAAGCACACAACTATTTGCCATACCTTGAGTTAGCACTGCCCTGGTTGCAGCCCATACAGTGCCCATCACACAGTGATGTTTGGTTGTTGTGAGCAATGGGTGCACACTTGGCCACTCAATAGGGAAGAGCCACCTCCAGGAGAAATGCCACACTGTGTGCCATGTCAGGCCACACAAGGCCCATGGGCTGGACATCAGCTTCTGTTTTTCCTATTGTGGGAACATCTAGTTTCCCCAGCCTTGGGAATACAGACACTTTTGCTCTACAGCATCGTGCCTCAGCATCAATCCTTCCCGAATGAATCACATGCCTCTTTGTTCCAGTTTGTCTTCCAAAAATCTCTGCCATGCCCACTAACCTGGATTTTGAGAAATACTGAGTTCCTCTCATATATTACCCATACTGCTGTAAAGACACTTTCATCTTCATTCTCTCTCTGCCTTTTAAAGTCTCAGCTCCAATGAGTAATTTATTTACATCAGTGAAATACAACAGTCTGGCAGGACAAAGTTCCATACCAGCACCAGAGGCAAAAGCTAGATCCTTCAGTTCAGGAAACAGGAACCCACACTCACAGATTGTGGTTGATGTAAGACAGAAAGCAAAATTTTAAGCCCTACTCTAGCATCTGGACATGAGCTCTGAAGATTACAAGTAACAGGTAATGACTGTTTTCTCTCTTGGCGGAAATGTTGTTCAGAAAGAACTTGACGTCTCTCCCAAATGTTTATTTGTAACTAGAATAAATTCTCTCCTATAGAGCAAGGTTCTGAGAAGTTTTGGTCAGCATTTTTGACCAACCAACCTTTCCCCACAACCTGCCAAAATACACTGTTGGAAAACGCCTCATCAGCTCTTCAGAGGACCTCAGGGCAGGCAAAACATTCTCAGTGCCCAGGGGACACATTGCTACGATAGTTAACACACAGAAATAGAGCAAGTCTTCAAAAGAAAAACAACAACAACAAAAAACCCAGTATCTTAGCACAGTGCTAATCCCTTTATTATTATAAAAATCTATAATTACATGTTGTTGCTTAAGGACTCTGTGCCTTTGAGAAAGCTTCAAGTCTGCACGCAGTAAGCCAGCTATGGCAAGAAAACATTTTAATTCCATAAAATTCTAGGACGGCCACAAATTTAAGCAGACTTCATCTTTACAGAAGTCATCAAGTTCAAAGACACTGTCAATTCAACATCCAGGCAAACTTTTATTGTTAAGACAGCTAGACTTAAGCCTCCAAATATCAGCATTATCAAGTATCTGACACGAATCAAATGTCCTATTGTCCCTCCCTGTACTATACTTCAGTGACTCACCTTCTCTTAAACAGAGATACATATTTTAACACAGTATAATTTCCTCAAGTGACAGATTCACTATCCAAACACAAACCAAGCAGCATAACTTTGACCTTTGGGGTTAAAATTATTTACTAGCTGCCAAGTCGATTTGTGCAATTACATTCACTGACAGATATCCTCTGTTCTTCTCCAACTATTCAACACTTCAGAACTGGGACAGTTTGTAAGAGCTAAACTAACTGAAGCCCACACAAAAGTATCAGGAAGTGCTTTTAGGCAGCTTTGCACCACAGTGTTACCTCCACTACCAGTGATCTGCTTTTGAACTCTTTCAACTGGCGATAGTCTCATGAGAGCCTTTAACTGTGACTGTCTGCACTGCTTAAACGAGCACCTGAACTGTGTCTCACTGGGTAGCTTTTCTCTGGCCAGCTCTGCACCCTGGACATCAGCTAAGTGCAAGTGCTTAAGAATAAGATGCATGAAATTTCTAGCTAGCAACGTCAAATGAAATCAGGAGGATTAACAAGCCATACAGTGTGACCGGATTCCAACAAGTGCTATTCATTCACTGAAACCCAGAGCTGAGGAAAATTATCCTATTTTTAGAATCCTTTTCAGACATAATAGAGCACCACTCAGAAAATTAAGTCAGAACATCTCCTTTTAGGCGGAAACAAGTCGACAGAAAGAGAGAAGTTTTTAAATTCAGAACAGTATTATCCATGTTGCTGCTTATTCTAATCTTAACTTTCACTCAAAATGTTATGTTGGTAGTCAGAAAGATGAGGACAGCATTGGAAGAGTCAACTGAACAGAACTAAGCCACTACCTGCTCATAAGTATTACTTGCAGGGCCATTGGAATCCTGACTCCCACTATTCATCTGAGAGATTAAATACCACAGCCATTGGCTGTGAAACACTTCTCTCTGATACTTCTTGCTGAGCTGCAATCCTCCTGCTCTGCTTCCTTATATGGCTCTTCATTAAGCCCAAAGGAAGTTTAAGTTCCTGCAACTCAAAATAAAGATAGTTATCAGTGTTTGGTAGCGTGGTTGAGCAATCTGTTAATTCAGAGTGGTCATCTCTTAGCATCACAGGGGAGAAAAACAAACTTTGCTCAGGCTGGAAACAACTGAAGCAGTTTAGGGGCACACATCCTAGGCTGGTGTTCAATTCCATTGGATTTGTTCTAGAAGTGCTGAACTATAAATGCAGAGCACAAGAAAAACATCATGCCAGCATGTCTAAGAGTTCTGCACCATGATCAGTTCATTTGAGGATGCCATTTTCAAGAGAAATAAACACAAGATGTAAAGGACTGAGAAAAGGCTATTGCTGCAGTTTACTCTGCTAAAGGGATGTTTCAGAGTACACAGGGTGCCATCAAACAAGTCCTGACACTGTATTTTCCACTAAATATCCAGCACTGAAAGCTGTGATGATGATAAAAAAAAAAAAAAAAAGAAGATTCAGAAAGCTATCTTACTGCTTTAAACCAAAATTCAGTATCTTTTAGGACAACAATCTGTAGTTACGAAGAGGAACTGCAGGGTGATATCTTGATAAGAGATAATCAGATCATCACAATCTTTAGCTTATGGCCAGGAAGGAGTAACTTCAGAAGAGAAAGGGTAGCTTTTTTAATTTTTAAGTTCTGAAGTTCTTACTTGATTTAGAAACATTTATACACCTTTCTGATAAGGCTGAGAAAAACCTCCTCAAAAGTCCTGTAGTACAACAGAATTCGGTAGAGCCCAGCCTGCAGTTAGCATCCATCTAATCTGTGAACAAAAAGCTATGGATAAGGAGATTCAGAGTGAAAGAGTAGGGCAGATTCTCTACAGATTACAGGGGCTGTAAATTTACGGTGTTTAATAAATTATATTTGGTACAACTGAACTCTTATTCCACATAATCTTTAGTCAAAGTTCACTCAAAACTGAAGCTAAACAGTGACAGTAAGAAATCATTTAACATCTAAACTCAGATTTAACATCTCAGAACAGATGGTAACTGAGTGCCACATCAACTTGCCAGCAAGAGCAAGACAAGAAACATGAATAACTTTATATACACACAGAGTATCACATAACTGGTCCAACGTAGGAACCAGTTTCCAGTGGCTGAGCATCTCCAAATTTTCTTTTGCATCAAGTAAAATACGGCAAACAGAACACATTACTGACACCATGCAAACACCTACATCCAGAAGGCAGCTGCTTCTTAGTCTGAAAATGACCCCCCTGTGATAGGAAAAAAAAAAAATCAGTACCAAGAGCTTCCATTTCCCCAATTTAGTCAATTTTCCTTCTATACAAAGAACATGAAATAGTATCAAGAAAGAATTTAAGAACAAAAATAGTAATCATTTTCTTAAGTAATCCAAAAGAAATGAGATTCGGTCCACCTAACATTACAGGTTCATGTTACATTTCACTATTTATATTAAAGCCACAGCTGATGCCTAGTATATAATTATGTTAAAAATAAGTTTCAAGGAAGCTTTAGTAGTTACATTTGTTCCACGAAATGAAAGAAGCAACAGCCTTCACAATGAACAAAAAATTTTTTTCCTTGTAGCTATTCTATATTTTAAGCAAGACAGTGTCTAAATTCAGAGAATTCTTGATGCTTTAACTGCAGACGAATTAAATGCTGTCCTATTTTTAACCAAAGAGTCCAAAGGCATATTTCAATAGCATCCATTTTTACATTATGTGATATGAAGGCAGTCAGTTGCACTCAGATTGCTGCTTGCATCACTGTGCCATGGCCTTTAAGCTGGAATCCGAGGAGATCTCACCCTGACCTCCATGTTTCCATGAAGAAGCTTTCTACATTGTTATATAAACCAGCTTTTACGTTCTTTTGTTGACTATAGAAGACAGTTTTTCTTTAGCTTAATAGTTCCCTAAACACAGCTTTTTCTGCATTTCTTGATTGAATTGTTCCACAATTCACTGCGACACTTCTTGATATCTCAGTCATCGTCTTGCTGATTTCTTTTCTGTCAAAAGAAAATTCACAATGTTAGGATACAGTTCCCTGCCTATAGCAGGGGTTGGAACTAGGTGATCTTAAAGGTCCCTTCCAACCTAAACTATTATTAGTTAGTTATTAGTTAACTATTATATTAAACTATTACTAAATTCTATAATACAATTTGTGAAGTGAGAGCACTAATAAATCACAAGTATCAAAGATAAAATGGATATTAGACAACGACCACATTTCTAAGCTATTTTTGAATGGTATAAGAGAATGTTTCCAGCAATGGCAGCTCTCTCCCTCATCCCAAACTACTGGATTTTATTTAGACCAAAGAACAAGATTTGCACCCCCAATTAACTAACTGGTAGAACTCAGTAATCAGGATGAAGGCAACCTGCCTTCTCTCCCCACATGTAAAAGAGTCACATTCCCTAGTCACTATTATTGAAGGAAGAAAGGAATCACGTTTTTCCTAATATATTTATCTTGCAACTTTTAAAGAAGTTCTGAGATGCATCAACTTCAGCTATTAAAAATATATATATTTCCATTTAGACTACATTTATATTTACATTTCAACAAAAAAAGAAACCCCCAAGGTTCTTGAGTGTGACTTGTCAAACTACACTCATTGCTTCCCCTAAAGACAAAATTAATTAAATGAAGTGAGATCAAAAGGAGAGCTTGCTCTTCCTCAATGGAAGAAAATACATGCATACATACATACAAAACCAACCCATACATTTTATAAGTAAACACGTAACCTATGCTAATTACAAAAGCAGTTTCAGGCACTTAGATGTTACCACTTTGCAGGGATAGTAAGTAAAAATTTTCTGGTAACTCTTACCAGTTTAAGGAAGTCAATTAATTTGTGAACATCCTCTCCTGTAGACAGGTCCACAAAATCCTTTGGCAGTCGGTAACTCAGGTATGGGCTGGGCTGGACAGTAACTTGACTGTTTGTACAACGAAAAACTGGATAGTCCTTTGGAAAAGAATGATGGAAAAGACAAAAACAGTGTCTGAGTAAAACCAGGAACATCATTTGAACTCCTCCATTATAGTGCCTGAGTCACCTTGCAGCAGAGGTTATTGAGCTTGCAGTCGACTAACCTTGCACTTTTTAACAATTTTATGTTTTGTCATTAAAAACCGTGCAATTAAAAGCAAGAGTTAAAATGTTACTAACAGTCAAATACATTCATTTCCTCACTTCAAAGTTAAAATATGATAGAAATGTGTTTAATATGTATATTTATAATGGTGCCATAGCAATGGAGCTATCAGGAAATCTACGTGACTGTGTGTAAAAGAAAAAGTTTACAGTAACACCTCTAAGCCCCTTTTCATAGGTTCTTTCTTTAAACCCATGTTTGTATTATCAAAACTATGATCTAAGCTTTCTGAGCAATTTATTCACTGAAGGTAAAAATACCTCTATACAACACTCAAAAGTATCTCTAAATTCTCAATTCTAGCAGGTTTAACTTAATATAAATTTCACTTTAATCTATTATATATTTTAGATACTCTAGAACTGACAAGCAATACAATTACTAATTGCATGGCAGTAGGTAACTTCATTTTAAAGGAAGTTCAGTAACTTTACAACAGATTTTACTACTGCATGCAAGCTTCAGCATGAAGAAAAGTCATTCTACTCTTCATTCAGAAAAATTATGTAAACCACTTGGCACCCAGAAAAATAAATCCACAAAACAAAATTCAGGTGCTCCATGGAAAGCTGGAACTGGGAATGTGCTTTAACAAGGGAGACAGCTTCTAGCAGAGATCGCTGAATTTACATGCACCATGAGACTAAGAGAAAATAGTTTATTTCCCTTTCAATGTTATGAAGATGGTGATGGTACCAAAGCAAAGCTCAAATAACCTCAATAATGTCACTTCAGTTAAAGTTACAGAGAGAAGCCCACAGTATCTGACCAGTCATCTCTCAGACAAATAGCAAGTACTTCATAAGATCACACTAGCTTTCTCTCTTCTACCCAGACACTCATAAGAACCCATTTAGATGTGAGGACTTGTCTCAATCACACAACAAAGAAGAAGCTGGAGAAGAAATAAAAGACTTTTCCTTTCTCCAAATTAATGGGAAGTTATTTGTTTTCAAACAGTGAATGCAGCTTGGAACAGGGATAAAACGGCATTGTTCTGCAAGTCCAGGGAGTCCAACCAAAGGACAAAGTGTCCCACAGAGTGTTCAATATGAGGAGGATGCAGAAATTAAGCTTCTTCTTGCTTCCTATCAAATATGAATAAACAAAACAGAACTTCAAGCAAATAAACAGAAAAGCAACAGATTTTAAAAGAAATTGAAAAGAGTGGAACAAATTTAAAATACATTAGAACTGAGTGAAAGCAATTTTCAGGTCATCTTCCTCACAATGAGGTCAAAACTGCAATATGGGCTTGTATGGTTTGAAGTACAAATTCCCTCGTAGGCATTTAACACTAGCAGGTGCTGCTTACTGAGATAAACTACTGTCAGAAAGATAGATTGATTCTACTCACAAAGAGTTTACATTTCAAGAGCTGAGGACTTTCATTTACTTCAGTGGGATTTGCACCATAATTCAGTTATGAAAAAAGCAGCAGCAGAGGCCCTAATGCCTTCTGGATTTGCTAGCCAGCTCCCTAGCAGCAGAGCTGTACCTGTTCTGTTGCTTCCCCTTCACTCTGGTCGCCTTTCAGATTTCTTCCAGAGGTCAGTTCATCCCACGTAAACAGCAGTGAGTCTGTTACTTCTCCAAATGGATTAAAATCTATTAACCAAATCTTACCCTGCAACGTAACAACAGAAGAATTAAAACAAGTCACATAGTTTTAAATAAAGCCAGAACATGCATGCACTTATACTACTGTAATATGCCTGGTCTTTAGAGACAAAAATAGATGCCAAAACTGAAAGCATCTGTTCTTACATGCTGAAAATATTGTAACATACTTTACATTAGGCAAACAGTTTTAAAACACAGCAAGCTCTGACTTTATATTTTTATTATTACTATTATTATTTTTGACAGAATATCAGACAGAGCTCAAGTAAACTGAATTCAGCTCTACATAACGTGCAGTTCTACGCCAAGGTGAAACCACAGAAATCCTCCATGATCTCCAGACAGCATGAACAAGGAAGAGAAAAAAAAAGAAATACAAAGAAATAAAACCCAGGTATTTTGCTTTCCATCAAAAGTCACCTCAGCACTCCTATACATTCAGCAGCCTGAAAGGATTGCTATTCTTGTTCTCAGAACAGACCGTAAAAATACAGAGCAAGGCCTGCAATTTGCTGGTGGAGATCATGAAAGCTGAAAGATGCTGCACAGATATAGATTGAAAAAACCACAAGGGCATTTTTAATATAACCCTTAGTAGTCCAGGCTAATTTTTCCTGCCATACCTCTAACATATTCATATGTCAAACAGTTCTGGTAGTGTGCACAAGAGCACGCCTATTCTACAAGTGAAGAACGTACGCAGAGAGATTGGCATGACTTATTAAAGGTAACAGAAGTCTGCCAAGGAGCAAGAAAGGACTTGTGTTCCTTGAGCCATCTCAAGATAGCCCTGTGCTGAAGCTGCACCTCTTCTTACCCAAGGAAGTGTCATCTAATAAAACAAAAACCTCATAACAAAATATGAACACAGGTGGTACTGAGAACTAGCAAAACACCTGCCACATAAAGAAGAAGTCAGATCTTCCAAACAGGGAGACGAAGGTTTCTGAAACATCAGTGGGATGATGGATTGATGGGATTTACTTTGTTTATTAAAAACCAACTGGAAATCACACCTGAGAACTGTGCAGTTACTAAAAAAATTTGCTTTCCTTTACTCACTCTCCTTCCTGAATGATCTTCTGTCTTTAAAAGATCCTGTCTCGATGCAAACTTCAATGTATCTTTAACTATTATACCACAGCCATCTGTTTTCTAACATGTAGATTCATTCCTTTGAAGCCTTCAGTCGTAGAGTAACATGGAGATTTCCACCCACACCACCTAAGCCACGCTCACAGCATTTAAGTGCTGTAGAGTAAGAAACGAATATAAACCCATACAACAGCAGAGAACTGCTAGAGGCTAAAAACAGTCTGTCACCATCTATACTGAGTTACTAATGCAGGTTGGGGAAGTCCCACCACAAATGAAACCAGCAATATTTCTTGTAAATGGGAGCTGTGCCAACATAGCAACCTGGCTGTGCACAGACCTGTAGTGGTCTGCCTCTCAGGGTAGATCAATTGGGTACAGCTGTCTCAAAGAAAGTTTTAAGAAGCCAGAGAACTGTAAGAGCAGTGCTAAAACAGACAGCTACAAAAGAAGATGGGAACCGCAAGGACACAGAACTGAACTGTTTCTTACTTGTTATGGAAGAGTGTAACAGCACAGACCTGCATGGCTAAATTGGAAAACCTGTGAACCAAAACTGACACCACTACCACAGACAGCAAAAAGGGACAAGCTCTGCTATCATTTTGCTTCTCTGTTCCTCCCAGAAACACAGTCACAAACTCTCATTATAAGCAATGTTTTACTTTTGTTAATGGGAACATCTCACTAGCTCCAAGGCATCAGAAGGAGGAATCTGAAATTCACATGCATTCTATAACTCTAGAAAAACAAATTAATGGACCAATTTAATCACAGACAGAAGCAATGGCTGGCAAAGTTCATTCTGCAGTTCAGAGAATCTTTCCTTGCATCAGAAATGTTTACACTCAATAAAGGATTTCCCCATGACAGGCTTTCTCAAAGACTTTTTCTCACCCCAAATACATGAAACTTCTTTTTTCCATAAATAGGAATTCAAGATTGTTTCCTTGGGGAAAAGATGTACCTGGAAAAAAAAAACCTGAAAAACATTTTTGACTACTGAAAGGAACATCTGTCTGCTCAGGTGCTCACAGAAACATTTCTCCTTCTCTCTGCAGACAGTGGTACTCCAACTGCAACACCTCGAGACCATCTTAAATCTACGCTGAGCTCCATTAGTTGCAAATGGATGGAAAGTGGCCAACAGCATCCTTTCTCAGGTTTCATTAAAGGGAATGTGCATAGCTCTGGGTGAGTAACTAAACCGTATTTTCTTTAAGTAAAATATCCATTCAAGTCCTACTTCAAATTTTATGATTTAAATGCCATTTGAGGTGATACACACTGTATCTGAAGAGCAACAGTACAGCTATTTATCTGCACTCTTCTGGCATCTTTACCATATGAGAGAACAGAATTGCACAAGCCAGAGAAGCAAGGCTGTTCTTACCTGGATAGGAAAAAAAAAATCATGTTATTGCATAACTTTTTTTTCCCCTCATCCTAAAACAGGAACCGATAGATTTACCGTATCATGACAGCTTCATGTTTTGTTTTTCTAAAGCATTAAGCAGTATGCTGCTGAAAGGAAATGCTTGTGACAAAGACTGTTTAAAGGAAGTTAAAAGATAAAATGCAAACAAAACTGTTACATTTCCCTAGCTTCAGCTGCACCTGCAAGCACACTGACAGTGCTCACAAGGCAGATAGATGCTAGTGCTGGTTTGCATGTTAACAAGAAGAGAGTTGTGAATTTGCAGTGGCCTGAAGCTTTGCACTGGTCTTCTGTAACACAGTGACTTGTCTTGAACATGGTTACAAGGCATAGAACTTGTAAGAGGTATTACCAGGAGCAACAGCAGAGCTGAAACTCTTGTCAGCTGTTGTGCAAAAAAAGCCAATCCAAATGGAAACAGGCTACTGGTCCTCCAACAGGACCTCTCTAGGGCTAGGTATTCAGATCATCCAGCTTTGAAAACTGTATAACAGCATTTCTGCCTTAAAAGAAGGTCTGTCTGCCAAACCAGGTACTAGCTCAGAAGAGCTCAGTGAAGAGAGAGTAAAAGGAAAGGTCAGCCATAGAAAAGTTTGCCCTCAAACAAGGGCACTGTTATTCCAACTCAATAAGCTGGACCTGTGGCAGACCACTCTGCAGCCTCTCGAGCAACTACAGAACAGGTGGAGTGGCTTGCTCTCTTCCACAGCCACAGTAAGGAAACAAGCTTCTCCAAGCTGAATATTTTAGAGTTGAAAGAATTTAAAATAAGCAGACATCGGACATTTCTTTCATTCTGTAGGTGAGGTTGCCATGCAACCAGCCCAAGGAAGAGCATGGGCTCTGGAAATTAATCAGATTCAGCAATACTCAATATTCCTTTGCTGCCTATATCTCACATACAAAGGGAGCAATGAATAATACAATTGCAAACCACAGAAGTATGTGTGAAAGGAGGAGGATTTGACACACAAAGGATTATCTGGCAGTTTACAAGACTCGAGGGTAGAAGGCACTGAGAGTTATCTACAAACAGATATATTCTATCCTGACAGATGAAGAAACACTGTTTATTTGAGATCACAGAGGCTGAAGCCTCTTACTTAAATAAACTGTCTTCACACTTCAGTTGTGAGGCAGAGTACCCAAAAGCAGGGCTTGGTTAGATGATAAAACACTGCTCCTTGTTTCATCTGACAGCATCCTCACGTCCGACGATTTGAATCCAGGCAGGTAAGTTTCACATGCCATTCAGCATGGCTGCTTTTAGCCTGATTCTGGATACTTACAGTGAAAGCTGGGCTCAGTAACAATACAGTAATTTTCCACATCGCACATTTCTTTTGTTTCTGTTTCCCGAACTACGGCATGATTTACTATTACACAATTACAAAATACTTCATCAGAAATCAAAGTTTTTATACAAACTAAGTACAAATATTCCTAACTTAACTCAGTGACTGAATGTCATTCCTAAAATCAGCTTTTGGATTTTTCAGTTGTGGACTCCTTTAAGACAATATGTACGTGCTGTTAGAGCATAGCTAACATGACCTGTTTCTGTAGGTTGACACGAGAAGTGAAGGTGGCTAGCATTTCAAGTTAGGATGGGACATCTCTCCCCATTCTGTCACTATGTGCATGCTCAGTGTTTCAACTTGCTGAGCACTCATCCACAGCTGGAACAATTTGAACAGAAAAAAAAAATAGCTTCCATCTGCTTTAAATTGGGAATACAACAATCATATACTCTCTTGATGATCGTTCCTTTGTATCCTAGAGTAAGAGTTACTTTTTCAACTGCTGAAGAACACTCTGAACAAATGATTAACTTTGATGAGTTCAGATGCTATAGGGATATTTTTATTATTATTACTTTTTTTTTTTTTAAGAAAAATTGCAAAGAATCTATTGAATTTCTTTTAGTGAGCAAAACATCACCCTCCTCATTTTTTGAAATAGCCTACTAATTCCAGCTGAACTCTTAGCTGCATTTCTGTCAAAACCACCTATAGTAGGCACTACATAGAGTGAGCAGTGCTTCACTTAAGCTGTTTACCATAGAATCCTTAGAGCTGGAAGGAACCTTTAAATGCCATCTACTCCAACTCTCCTGCAGTGAACAGGAACACCTACAGCTACATCAGGTTGCCCAGGGTCTTACCCATCCTCGCCTTGAAAGTCTTCAGGGAAAGGGCATCAACCACATCTCTGGGCAACCTGTTCCAGTGCCTCACCACCCTCACCAGGAAAGACTTTTTCCTTGTATCCAACTTAAATATATCCTCTTTAAGCTCGAAGCCATTTTCCCTTGTTCTGTCACCACAGACCCTGCTAAAGAGTTTGCCCCCTTCTTTCCTCTAGCTCCCTGTTAGATACTGAAAGACCACACTCAGGTCACCTCACAGCCTTCTCATCTCCAGATTAAACAGCCCCAGCTCTCTCAGCCTGTCCTCATAGGAGAGGTGTTCCATCCCTTGGATCACCTTTGTAGCTCTCCCTCATGCAAGATCTTGCATTCATATTTGTTGAACCTCACAAGGTTCTCCTGGGCCCACAGTTCAAGCCTGTCTAGAGGTCCCTCTGAATGGCATCCCATCTGGTGATACTATACCAGTATTCATCTTAAAGACATCTAAATTGCCTTCAATAGAACGAAATTCCAAGAATCATAGACTGCCTTGAGTTAGAAGGGATGTTAAAGACCATCTAGTTCCAAGCAGACAGGATTGCCATCCACCAGCTCAGGGCTCCATCCAACCTGACCTTGAACACCTCCAGGCATAGGGCATCCCTCAGTTTCTCTGGGCAGCAGTGCCAGTGCCTCACCACCCTCAAAGTAAAGAATATCTTCCTACCACCTGAATTCTAGTTTAAAGACATTCCCCCCCTATTCTATCACAAGCAGACTGTTTATAAAGTCAGTCTCCCTTCTGTTTCTAATGGTTCAATCAGAATGGATTAGGAATTGGCTGGATGCAGCCAAAGAGCTGTGATCAATGGTTCTGTTTCAGGTGGAGGCTGGTCACAAGCAGTGTCCCTCAGGGGTCAGTCTTGGACCGGTGCTCTTCAACATCTTCATCAGTGACACAGATGACGGCATCAAGTGCACCCTCAGCAGGTTTGTGGATGACAGCAGCTGAGCGGTGCGGTCCACACACTGGAAGGAAGGGAAGCCATCCAGAGGGACCCAGACAGGCTGGAGAAGTGGGCCCCTGAAAACCCAATGAGGTTCAACAAGGCCAACTGCAGGTATTTATACAAAGTGGGGGGAGATCTCGTGGAGAGCAGCCTGTGGAGAAGGACCTGGGGGTCTGGATGTGAGCCAGCAGTGTGTGCCTGCAGCACAGGTGGCCAACTGTGTTCTGGGCTGCATTAAAAAAGAGGTGGCCAGCAGGGAGAGGGAGGTGATTGTCCCCCTCTACTCAGCTCTTGTGAGGCCCCATCTGCAGTACTGCACCCAGGCCTGGGGTCCCCAGCACAGGAAGGACGTGGAGCTCTTGGAGCAGGTCCAGAGGAGGGCACTGAGATGATCAGAGGGCTGGAGCACCTCTCCTGTGAGCAAAGGCTGAGGGAACTGGGCTTGTTTAGCTTGGAGAAGAGAAGGCTCCAGGGAGACCCCATTGTGGCCTTCCAGTTCTTGAAGGGAGCACATAAACAGGAGGAGAAATGGCTGTTTAATAGGGTGGATAGTGATAGGACAAGAGGGAATGGTTTTAAACTGGAGGGGAGGTTTAGGTTAGATATTTGAAGTAAATTTTTCACACAGAGGGTGGTGAAACACTGGAATGGGTTGCCCAAGGAGGTTGTGGATGCCCCAGTCCTGCAGGCATTCAGGCCAGGCTGGATGTGGCTCTGGGCAGCCTGGTCTGGTGGTTGGCAACCCTGCACATAGCAGTGGGGTGGAACTGGATGAGCATTGTGGTCCTTTTCAACTCAGGCCATTCTGTGATTCTATGATCCCTCCAATTACTGGAAGACTACAAAGAGGTCTCTCCAGAGCTTCTATTCTCCAGGCTGTACAAGCCCATCTCTGAGCTTTTCTTCATAGGAGAGGTGCTCCAGCCCTCTGATCATCTTCACAGTCCTCCTCTGGACACAAATTCAGGCACAGCTGTAGCTGAAGCTAAAGTTATGTGCTTGAAGACAGACTACTTGTCTGAAAGAAAATATTTACTGAATAGTTACATCAATGGCAAAGACATACTTACAACTCTAACTCTATCGCTTTCCTCCCATTGACAGTATCAAACAATGAAAAGGAATTCAGGAACAGAATGATAAAACCAAGTAGCTTTTTTTTTTTTTTTTTTTTTTTTTTTTTGCCAGGATCACTTCTAGGAAGAAGCAGCTATTCTTTGACTCCTCTCACTAGGGTTTCAGGTACAGCTTCCACAGAACAAACAATTAATTGCTAAGCAAATAAACAATCTGTTGTTCACTTACCCTGCTGTCTCGGTACACATCAAAAACAACTGAAAAAGAGAGGAAAAAAAAAAGTTAACCTTGAAAGATACAATTTCCCTGAAGATGTCAAAAACTCTCCTGGAGACGAGAAGGCCGCAGGGAGACCTCATTACAGCCTTTCAGTATTTAAAGGGAGACTATAAACAGGAGGAAAAATAAATTTTTACACAGACAGATAACGAGTAGACAGGGGGAAATGGTTTTAAATGAAAGGAGGGGAGATTCAGATTAGATGTCAGAGGAATTTTTCCTCTGAGGGGATGTTGAGGTGCTGCCACAGGCTGCCCAGAGAGGTTGTGGATGCCTCATCCCTGAAAGCATTCAAAGACAGGCTGCATGGGGCCCTGGGCAACCCACTCTAGTACTTGACCTATCAGCTGGCAACCCTGCCTGTGACAGGGAGGTCGGAACTTGATGATCTGTGAGGTCCCTTCCAACCCAAGCCATTCTGTGATTCTGAATATATACTCTTGTACACTACACAACTGGCAAAGTCAATACATCTAGAGAACTGCACGCCAGAATTAGGTTAATTTCCAAGAGGAAGTTGAAAATTTTCAAGAACTATTGTTAATACACTGATACAGTGTCTGCTGGGCTTTTTCATTTAATTCTGGTTTGTTTTGTTCATTTTTCCTCCCAATGGAGATCATCAGATAAACTCTTAGCATAGAGAAAAGCCTGTCGCCTACATTACTGCTGTTTGTTTTACAGCAGAACTGAGACATTTCATGGAAGGATAGGCCTACACTGTGCTAGACATCACATTTAATGAGAGAAAGATCCTGCTTCAAAAAAGGTTAGGACTCCAGCAGATAACAAGACTAACAGGTTGTAGGAACAAAGGGGTCAGTGGGCATGCTGAGGATGAGGCACAGAAAGGGCTATGTTTAAAGTCACACAGAGCAGACACTGCACACCTACTGGTTATCAACAGCTCTTTCAAAAAATCTCTGCTACTCAGTGATTCAAGTCAATCTGCCTTGCGTAGTTACACTAGTGCCACTCCCATTGGTTAATTAAGCACAAATCTTTGCACATGCTTCTATCTGTTAGCCTCTGTTCTGTATGGTTAAGCAAACCTTTGATTTGTCTTTCTATTCAACTATGGAAAAATCTACAGATAAGCATTCAGGCATGAGTGCATGCAGAAACTGTACCAGTTCAGCAGAGGAAAGAAAAGCCAGAATTAGAAAACACTCAGACAAATGCTGTATTGTCACTTTCTTCACTAATGAGGAAGGGAATATTTCAGCTAAGAGATTTCCCAATTCACATAAGATAAACTGAACTCAGGATATGACTAAAGAATACTTGAGCCCCAGCAGCTCCTCAGGAAGTTGCCTGTCAATAGCAGACAAGTTGATAGATCTTGTCCATGCATATAAAGCTACTCAGCAGCTTAACCTCATGCTTTGCGCCAAGTTGGCTGCACAAAGGCAAAACTCAGGGCCAAAACCAGTCACATCATTGTTTTTGACCATAAAGCCTAGAAATCTTTTTGCACAAGCTCAGTTACGTCAATTTAAAATGACCCTCTAGAATTAAGTGCTGTGACTTTCTCAGTAAGACAAACCCACAGTGACTAAGTCACCAATGCCAGGATAAGCACAGCAGCTCTAGATTTCTTCCACAGCTGTTCAACTGAACTTGTTGCTTGTACTGTGTTCAACAGAAAACCTTTTCATCTGAGTTCCATTATAAAACAATGCCTGTCAGCTTGGAGCAAGCCTATGGCAGCAGCGATCATTAATCATTGAGACTGAGTGGGATTTACAACCCCATTAAGACTGACTGCACATTGGTGACTAATTTAAGACACTGATTAACAGCAAACAGAGAGGAAAACTTGCACTGTTCCTTCTTTAGGGACCAACTGAGGAGCAGCGAGCTGCGTGCCAGTGAGACTGGAGTAAAACTTAACCACCAATTGCTTAGAACTGAATGCAAATGAAGGTGTGGCTCTATGGCAAGCATCAATACCTCTGGAGGACTTCTTTCACTGGGCTCCTATGAAAGGATTTTAGAAGGTTCTATCATCATTTAAAATTATTTAAAATGCATTTGCCCATCTGTTATCTTACTGCTCCAACTCCGCAGCGCTTCAGCTGCTCTGACTCAATTCTTCCATCTGGAGATACTAACAGACCAACTGGAAAAAGCAGAGCAAACAGCACTGAAAGCCCCAACGAAGCAAGGAGTCAGGGAAAGAGCTACCATACCTTTCCTTCTGACAGCAAACAAAAGCAGACTTTCATTGTTAACAACAAATATGCTGCTAGACAGTGGAAACAGAGATATGGTTCGGGGTAAGGAAGGTATGGGGAAAAAAACCTGCAGAAAATGTTTCCTGTATGGCATTTCTCTGCAGCAGGAAGGGTTACCCATGTTTTGTGCCCAAGACCAAAAGGCTAAAAAACCTCCATCCCAGAAGGTGACCCTGAAACCTCATTTCCCTAGAAGGTAATTTGGATGGCACAGTTTAACCTACTTTACATAGGATAACACTTCAGACCTTTCAGTTTACTACGCAGCAGAACTGAAATCTGGGCACCAATTTCTAAAAATAGTGCCCTGAATTATTATCTATCAGCTGATTACATACAAGCTGAAATTATGTTGGGACATAGAGGAAATTAAAACAGTAATCATAATGTCAGATCTGTATGATTGATTTTACTTCAAAATGTTAGGGCTACAGATCTGATAAATTAGTATAATAATTATACGCATTATATCCAGACTGAAATAAAAAGAATCATGCAGAGCCACTTTTTTTTTTAAATGTCAATAAAAAAAGACTGGCATTAGAAGGAATCCTTTCAGAAAGTCAGACAGAAAAGATCTGAGTAACCATGGCACTCAAACAGCAAAATTATTAACCATGTTCAGAGCTTACCTGATGGTTGAATAGTCAACTTTTTATGAAAGACAATACAAGACAATTCTTATGTGCACATGTTACTAAACTGAGGGTTGGTCCACACCAGAACAATATAAACTTTCCTCATAGTTTTCACCCATCTCAATCACATCACAACAGAACACTACCTTAGTTTCCTGACATGGTTTAGTGAGATTATTACTGATAAAATTTGTAAAGGATTTCATATTTACAAACTGAGTCGATTTAATTAGGTTGCTTAGGTATGGCAGAATTTCAAATACCATTCCAAAGTTTGAGCAGATAAAATGCTGTACATCAATATTCTAACAGAAACTAGTATAAGTTCTTGAAAATAAACTTCTAGATCTTTTCTTCAGAGAATACACCAATATTTAGCATGAAACATCTTTATAAGTATTTCTCCTTAGTACTGAATGCCTTTTGTTAAGTATTTCTTATCCCGTTACTCAGATGCTGATTTTTTCATATTTAGAAACAAGCCTAAGGGGGGAAAAAGCCTTTAAAGAAAATAAACAGCAAGCAAACACACAAGTAAACAAATCTTTTGTTTGTTAAGTCTTTGTGAGTACAAGTGCAGAATGTCCTTAAAAACCTTCCTCAACACCCTCCTCCCCGCCTATGTTCCGTTTTGTAACTGAAGGCTGCAGATACTTACAGTCTTCATCCAAGAACTTATACTGTATGTGTTTCTTGAAAAACTCCTGTATTGATCTACAGATCTCCTCATGCTGCTTAGAGATATGGTCATAGTACTGAGTATAGTCCCTCTGTGATATACCTGTCAAAAAATTTAACTGATTATGAAGAGCTTCAGACACAGAAAAAAAAACAAACAAATACAGAAAACACTCACACAGCACACAGTTGTCACAGTACACACATTACCATCACTATTTCAAAAGACAGGGTTCTCCCAGCTTTCAACCGTTAACAATGACCTGCTGTTTGGTTTTATTCTCCAGTGTTGGAAGCACTGCCATTACAAACTTTCTCCTTGTACAGTTCTGCCCTATGTTTGGTGAACCTCAGTTCACATGCACATGCTCTCACTATTTTTAAGTGAGTTTCAGAAGTAATCTTTGCCCAAGTTTACATTTCCATTTGTTGTCTTGCCCTTTCAGTTTCATTCACTCTGTTTACTCCAGTGAAAAACACTTCCATTTGGAAGAGTGAAATGAAAGGGGGAGAGGCCAGGTTTGCCAATTAGCAAAGAGGACAAAATTGAATGTATCATAAAGATTCTCATTTAACCTACTCATTAAGCATGAAATAACACATACCCGTTTGATAAGACACAAGAATTGAAACCTTAAACCCTAGAATTAAAGTGACATATTATCTAGTATCTTTGTGCCCACCTGAGGGCTTTCTTCTGTCTCGGACATTAGATAAATCATCCCAACTACATCACAAGCACTCCGTTCAGGCATTTGTTTGAATGCAAGATGATGGTTTATGTCAACATCAACAGGATTAAACACTCGCATCTTAAATGACAAAAGTTCTCATGCAGGATATGTCAACATAAACCACTGCAATACTCTGCTGGACAAACGTCAAACTAAGACCTACGCCTCACCGCAAGATGAGTAACATGTAGTATTTATGGAAGAAAAAAAAGGCAGAATCCTCCGCAGAAGATGCATTAGTGATGGCAGTGTACTCTTCTAACCATACGTAAAACACAGAGACTAAGTCTTACTTTAGGACAAAGCTGACCACCTCCAAAGATGAGCTCTTTCAAAAAGTCCATATAAAGTTCACAGCTTAAGCGGAACTTTGAATTATGAATACCACCGCAAATGTTAAGCCTAAAAGCAAAAAGCAAGAGATGGCAGCGCTGCAGGGGATGCAGACATCTAACTGGAAAAGCACTCACTACGCTTCACAAGTACTGTGCCTTAGCTTGACTGACAGGCTCATTAATTTTAAGAACATGGGAACATATTGTGGAAAAAAACTTGGAAGTGTCTTAGGAAATGCAGTTGGTGTGCTTGTAAAAAACCCATACTGGTAAATTCCCCAGGTTTCAAAACTTAGTAATGCAATGTGCAGAATGTTTAATTAGGCAGAGTAAAATGCCCTGGGGTATTTGAAAGTAAATATCAGTCTCTTTCTCAAGCATACATATTATGCACACATACGCATTCTGTAATAGATCTACTTTCAAATGTTTTAGAATTTATTACAGTGATGCATATCACTGGCAGTTGTGTTCTAGAAGCACTTAGAATCATAGAATTATTTAAGTTGGAAGGAACCTTTAGAGGTTATCTAGTCAAACTCCTCTGCAGTGAACAGGGACATCTACAGTGAGATCAGGTCACTCAGAGCCCCACTCAGTCTCACCATGAATGTCTCCAGGGATGGTGCATCACCACATCTGTGGCAATCTGTTCCTGTGTCTGACCACCTTCACTGTAAAAGACTTTTTCTGTATATCTAACCTAAATCTACTTTCTTTAAGCTTGAAATTGTTTTCCTTTGCTCTATCACAGCAGATCTTGCTAAAGAGTCTGTCCACTTCTTTCCTCCAGGTCTCCTTTGATACTGAAATGCTGCTCTCAGGTCACCTTGGAGCCTTCTCTTCTCCCGGCTGAGTAGAATCATAAAAATCACTTAACAGGACAGGATTCTGCTCTTCCTCTTTCAACAAGTTACATCAATACCATTAAGTAATGCAGGATTAATGGATAACCTCAGCTATTAGCAAAATAAACTCTGTTACAAAGAAGTACAATAAAGCCTGCAATTGGCATGAACAGACAACACCCAGATCAGCAGATCCCCACAAAGTCTTCATGCAGTTCATAGAACACCTGATCAAGAGACAAAGGACAGGAAGCAAATTCCTATGACTGAATAAGGTGGAACAAGATGAAGAGAAATTATTGACAGCTCCTAGCAGGTACAAAAAGGCATGTGCTGTACTAGCATGTAGTAACTGTGCTTGAAGATGTCAGGAGAAACAATGAGGTCTACATAACATCACATGCCTTCCCCACTGTATCATTATGAGGAATCCTGGACATCTCACTTACATGTGCCCATCTTGGTGCTTCCGAATACACAGGTATGGGACCAAAAGTAAACAAACTTGCTTTTTTTTTTTTTTGGAGGAAATCACTTTCCTTCCTATCAATTCTGGATTACAGCTTTGCAACATTTACAACACTTTCTTGTTAGAAGAGTTCCAGCAGAATGGTTCTTGTTAAGGACTACTACGTGGTCCAATCCTGTGCCATTTTCATTTCTGTTCATCCTTTGAAGATTCCACAGTAGCGCACATCAAAAAGGAATTCAAACTCCAGAGTGACACTCCAACTGCATTTAAACCCCTCAGTTCAAGCACCTGGATGTGCAGTAGTTGTCTAGGTTCCTGTCCCAGGAGAAGCTATTCAATACATCTAAAGCAATACATGAAATATATTTTGAATTCAGACACATGGTACACCTGTGGATGTATTCTAGCCTCCACAACTTCCTGAACTTAACGTTCAAGTGTGGTCACATTTAATCAACATAACCAACTGCCTCTGAATTCGTTCTGCAGGTTGGGTATGATTTAAAATTCTCTCCTGAATATAAAGGAATCCCTTTCAAAACAGCCTTTGGGTGAAGTCACTGAATTAACAATTAGAACCATGAATATTCCCCTATCATATTGGGCTTATTATGGCATCAGGCTTTCAAAGACTGTGGAGAGAGAAAACTGGCATGCCACATTTAAGATTATAGACATTAATTCCCAAACTGAGTGTGATAAGGAAGAAGCATGTTCAGATTCAGCACCAATTCAAGAAATCAGAGAAATTTCTAAGAACTTCATCTAATAATTTAATCTCTAATTCTCACCTATTAGCTTGTTTTCCTTGACAAAGCATCTGAATTCTGCACCAGGAATTAGTTCACACCATTTGCGAAGAACAAGCTGTGAAGGGAAAAGAAATGACAAAATATTGTTTCAGAGGGTAATTTTTTTTTTTTTTTTTTTTTTTTTTTTTTTTAAACAGGGATATCTTCTAGATCTTTCAACAGTTTTGCTGCAATAGTAAGACAATCTCTGATGTTAATTCTTATATCAGACAACAAAGCAATCTTACTCTGCAGTTCATACAAACATGGAATGGCTTGGGTTGGAAGGGACCTTAAAGATCCCACAGTCACAGGCAAGGCTGCCACCCAGAAGATCAATTCATACAATTATCTTTGGAAATACTCGAAAGAATTTGACCCAGCATTAATTTATACACGATGAGAATGCAAAAATAAAAATTATCCTAATAGGCAATAATTTCCCAATTTAGAGCCCCCTTTTCTGAAGGCCAATGTACTTAAACACTGATGTCCAGAAAATAATGTAGTAAATGCCACTTCTTCCCACAGTTACATGTTTGGTGCGTGCCACGTTGTCAATATATACATCTGGAGTTCCACATTTCAAGACCCCTGAGTATAGTTGTTATATTCATAAGCCCTCTGTGACTGCACAGAAACAGGCCACTAGCACTGACTACATCAGATGGTCATGAAGTCCTTCATGGGAGGATGAGAAGTTGTACGTTGAAAGAAGAAAGTTCAGACTGGTCACAGGAAGAAACTTTCTTACCATGAGGACAGTCCAGCATCTCAACAGCCTCCTCAGTGGGGTGGAACAGCCTCCAGCCACTGAGGCTTTTACAACCACATTTGACAGCACACCACAAACCCAATTTTATCTCACAGCTTACCTGGCTCTGAGCACAGAGAATTTAAACATGAAGTTATTATAAAACAACTTCTAAGTTGTGCTAATGATAAAGCATGGAAAACAAAAAACCATGGCACAATAAATCTGCCATGGAGTTGGCAGAAAGTTGCTCTCTAGTCAAAAGAGCTGATGGGAGAACTCAATTTAATTTAACCAGATCAAGCCCTATTGTGGTATACATCCAAGCAGAATTCTGTGATGCCTCTGAAAGCACAAACTGGTTATAATAAGGACACAGGAACAAAATAGTAACCAAACCATTATCATGAACAGGAGAGAATGCCCAATAGTTAAAGCATATTTCCAGCACTCTCTGCTTTTCCTAAATTGGAGCATTCAGATACATTCATTCTTTCAAGGGTCTCAGTTACTGCTTGTGGGCACTGGAAACTCCCAGCAATATCAACTGCAGAATAAAAAAATCCATAACCAAATGTTCCAAACTACAAAGTAAATATGAAAAACTCTTCTGTATCTTTAAAGCCCATTAAGATGGTGCTTCAAAACAGTGCTGATGCACTTTCCCAAAGCCCTTTTAAACGCAAAGGATGATGACAAAAAGCTGTATTTACATAAAAATTATTAGAGACATAACTAGATGCTATCATAAAACAGACAGCACCACAAGAACTGTTTAATGCAGTATCTGAGTTGCTAACAAAATATTTTAATGCAGCAGAAAGCATATCTAATGAGATAATATAGACCATTTCAGTTCTTAGTAATCAGCTACAAACCCCAGCCATCACAGCTAGCTTCTCTTAGTAACCCCAGCCATGATGTTCCCAAGAAACACATTATAAGGAAAACACAACTCTCAGCTATTGAGCTTCAGCTTCCTGGCAAAACTGGACAGACAAAAACAGAAAGCTGCAAGGAAGCTTCACGCATCTGAACTTCAGCTTGACTCTGACCCACAACTAAATGAATACCTGATGACCTCCAGTTCTTAACCACACTTCCCCAGCAACACAAAACAAACAAAAAAATTATTTTTGGGCACATACTCAAGCACAAGTGGCTGCCTGCCCACATGTAATTCACATAAGTTAACCTCGGAATCATAGAGAAAGCCTTACCTCATAGTTCAAGGGAGGATCAGGGGAGTCATCAGTACAGTGAATAAATCTGGAAGAGTCACAGGCACCAAAATATGCTTTAGATATAAGACTCTAGCCACAGTGAGGAAAAATTACTCCAAAAATGTTAATTCCAAATCCACAGCTAAATTACCTCTAAGACAGATAAAGGAAGCAATTTCAGTGTGTCAGAGACAAAACAAGACAACTGCTTTCCACAATTATAAACAATCACCCTTTTTTGATGTAGTGTAGTTTGGAAAAGCCTAAATTTGTACAGGAACTCTGGCTAAAACCTTATTCAAGGTTGAGTTTTTTCCTTGAATTAACAGTGCTGCTCCTTTTGTCTTTATTGACATGCAGGCATAACTGGATTCTCAAGCACAAAACAAACATTAAGAGCACTAAGGAAACTATGCTGCAAGGAAACTTAATTAAACTGTTAACATTAACTTCCTAAACCAGATAACCCAGACACATCACTGTGCCTTGCAGCAGTTCAGGATTACTTTCATTTCTATGAACAGGAGATGCAAAGCAGTGCTGCTCAACACTACTGATTCCTCAGCATGGTGTTTTGCTAAGTTAAAGAGCCTTAAGAAATACTCTTAGAAATCTCCTGAGAGTGAAAAATGAACAAAACCACTTCCATAACTGCAAGCAGATGTCAAGGTTTTGTCCTTGTGAGCAGCTCACTGTGTGCCACCATCCGGGAACTACCAAGAACTGAGACAGTTATATCCAAGATAATTTCTACATACATTTTTGCTATTACACAGCAGGTTTTGATAATTCCCTCCTTTGAAATTACAGGAATTATTGCAAGAGAGCATAAATCTTCCACCCAAACACACTTCCTGACCATACTGGCAACAAACTATTTTGATGTGCAGAACTGTGCTACGGGTCACTACTGAGCAACAGTCTTAAATGGCAACATTTCTCCTGTCTCTCTTTGGCACTGAACTTAAGCAATCCAGAAGCCTAACATCTCTCCTCTAAGCAGTGCACTGTAAGATGTGGCTGCTCAAAGCCTTTACACTTTGTAAGCAGAGCATCACGCTGCCCAGCCTTCAATCTAAGGCTGAGGGCTCTCCTAAGAGCTTTCTCAGTATGCTGCCAGAAGAAATAAATTTTTAGTTTAGGCTTTAATATTCACCACACAGAGCAGAGCAGGCTTTCCAAAAGTAAATCAGAGACCACATATCTGTAAGTCTATGTATACAGATAACAGCTACAGCTTATATTCCCAGCAATTTAAGATCTGTCAAGGCAATAGAAACACTCCTGAGAGCTTGCAGTTTTGCTATCCTAAAAATTCCCCCCATTGCAATCATATCTGCTTACTGTGCTCAAGAAAATATTCCCCACACAGCAAAATAACCATAAACTACAGGTAAAAAGGCAGCCGAAACCTAACACACAGTGTTCCACAGTCCCTGCACATTCAGACCTGCATTACCTTTCAGAGAAATCCATATTTGAGATTGGGGTATCTGTAATCTGCACCATTTCAGTTAAATGCAATCTTTCCCAGCTGTAAAAAACAGCCTTATAAGAAAGTCAAAACTAACCCTTGCTAGCATTGATATTTTGGGTGGAGGTTACATGGGTGGAAGGGGGAGAGGGGGAGATATCTTCTGTTCTTTTCTATTTCTTAGCAACTTGTTCCAGCATTAACTGTCTGGACAGCTGAATTCACCCATTGCACAGAGCCTTTTCAACATCAGAGGCAGAAGGCTAAGCAGAGTTTCTTTCAACTGCATCCTCTGCAGGCTTGAAGGTAACTGAAAGAGCATCAGAGAGACCTGAGGACCACAAAATCAAAAGATACATCAGCTTCCTTTTCTGAAACCTGTGAAAATTATCATTTTAAATACTAGTAAGCATGAAGGAGTTAAACTCTGCTGCTTATTGATCTTGTGGTGTGGTCAACAGCTTGTTTACAGATTTACACTTAGATATCAACAAGAGAATGATCAAGGTCTTTTTTTAAGTAGCAAATGCACGTTAATCTCCAAATGCATACAGCTGACAACAGCACCCACTACACGAAGCAGCATGCAGCACTGAGAAAAATGACTTAAGAAGGTTTGAAAAATCTCCAGTACCCATCCTGCCATGAGAGCAATGAACTGAGATTATCATCACACAATAAACAATTACCAATATGAGAGCTGCAAGAATCACTTTGTACCAGACGGTTCTGCTGATGTCTTGTAGTTTTATTTAAAACCTTAATAAAAAAAAATCAAAGATATATTTCTTTATTACTACCTGCACTGCAAATTCCTAGGGAAAAAACGGGCATGTGAGTAAAACCTCAAGAAAAGAAAATGTCTGAGGCATCATATTCCACATCACCTCACATGGAACTGTTTACCCTGAAATATGTTATACTGAAGTCTTAAGTACTGTCCTTGCAAAAAAGGTACCCTGATTGCCAAATCACTTCTTCATGAGCCAAGGCTGCCTCCTATGTTCCATCAGGAGAACACAGGCTGTCACCTTTCCACATCAGGGAAAAAAAGCTTCACAACTTCCTACTAAAAATACTTCCTAGTTGAAGGAATCACATTTAGTGTCAGCAGAGCCATTTTTGACTCTCTTCAGTCAGGCATTTTGTTACTCATAACTGATCACTTTCACAAGGATCCAGGTTTGGTTGGTTTCACCTGCTTCTGCCTGTGCCAAAGTGCAGTACCTGCCAAGAACAGCTTTTGCATGAGGTTGCTTTTGACCAAGGTTGAACTTCAGATATCTGATTTCATCTCTACTGATGGTTGTTTAATAACCACAAAAATGCTGTGAGGTTCAACACCCCAACAGCGACACCTGCAGATCTGAAAAGCTCAGCACTACACTGCAGAATCATAGAAACGATCCCCCAGGTTCAACAAAATTCCTAAGGTTTGTTGTCACTAGTAAGCAGAATACAAGCCTATCTCTGAAGGGCACTACCCTATCATTAAAACTATTGCCACTGTTTATAGCAGCCTGGGGAGGTATTTACTTTTAACAAAATGCAGCCCAAATGTTCTAATAATTAGCAAGAAAGCTGTGTAGTAGCTGCACACTTCCTGTTCAAAAGAGGAGTGTTGATCACTTAACAGAAATCCCAGTTAGAAAGGGATTTCTTCTGTCACACAACCACAATGTTAAGTTCTTGAAAGCCTACATTAAAAACTGGAAAGTCAAGGATCACACCACCCACAAGTTTCCTGTGAACTCAGCAAAGTAAAATGTAGTGCTTACTTGAAGCAGAAACAATGACTACGTTAACGAGAACGTTGCTCTGAAGTCTTTGCTAATTTATGGCTGTTCCAAGAAGAAAGTTAACTCATTCTGAGCTTTTAAACCAAACAAGTGCCAGCATGATGAGAAAATCCAAACATTTAAATAGTCAAAGCTTATCTGGTCACGCTCTGTATCTGCAATAAGGCCGTATTTTTCATGGTTTGTGTTAAGGTATTGCATAGCTGAAGTTTTCTCAGAACTGGAGACAGTTAAGAATTGCAGCAAGGGCATTTCCCTGACCTGAACAACAGATAGATCAATATCAGAGAAGCAGACAGGAAACAAGAGAAGAGGCAGAGAAAGTGCTTTAATTCCCACATCACTGGCAAAGCTACATCAAGAAATAGTTCTTCAGCTTGCCATTGTAAAGTCTTCTCTGTGTCACAACCCAGGAAGTATATTTTTAAGTTAACACCACTGAACAGAAAAAAGAATAAACAAAAATCTCAGTTGCTAATTATGCAGGCCAAGAAGCTTTTAGAACACAATGAATATTAATGAAAAAAACAGAAACATAGCATTTCTATCCCTCTCTATCCCTTACTGTGATCAGCCTCTCTCCAAGGATTTAGATATATTATGTTTTCAATTTTTGTTTGTTCAGCACTTTGGTTCTTATGCCAACTGCACTTCTAGTTTGTGCTTGCTAGGACTGTGGAGCTGGCAGCTAATCAATAGCTTAATTAAGCCCACCTCTGTAACTCAGCAATAATTATTTCTGTATTTGGATGGGGACATTTTGTTTTAATAACTTGGCAATTTAGATATATCATGCAGAGACTGGACAATAATTTGTTCTTTATTCGCAGGTTAAATTGTTCTTTATTCACAGGATACACAGAAACCAAAGTGCTTTTACAATGAGATGTTCATCTTGTTGTAAGGTCCATTTCCACTCAAATTCACAGACCTTATAGGAAGGGAAATAAAAGGAGTGCTTCTCAAATGGAACTTCACCTTAACCTTGGGATTAGGTGACAATTTGACAAACACATCATGAGGTTGGTTTACCTACCACCTGCTGAATTGCATTACCCAACTGTGCATCCTACTTTAGCACTCTGGAAGAGGAGTGCAAATGGACTGAAGTAGGACAATCTGAGAAGCTTTTCTGCTGGAGGTTGCTTCTCCCCAGGCAGGATCAGTAGATGAGAACATACCTGCTAAAGGCTACTCAGCCAGCACTGCTTTTAGTCTGGTGTGAATCTAAGGTGAAATTACTGATGGCTCAGGTTAACACCCATGCTGTGAAATTTCACAATATAGGACTGCATTCGCTGCCTCCTCTGTAAGTCAGCGCTGTCTGCAGAGGTCAAGGTGAACAGCTGGGGCACTAAGCTGGCCTGATGTGAGATAAAAACCCTATGAGAAAATGCACCAATTGCAATCCCAGTGAAGGTAATCCAGCCAATCCTTTCTACCATCTAAATGCATAACCTAAAAGCACAGGACTGCACACACAAAGAAGTTTAGTTGCCACAGCTTTCAGAAGTGCACAGTGCTTTCCAAACACTTGACTGTGTCCCAAACATTAGAATGGGGTTAAGCAAACAAGCATTCAGCAAGGGGGGGGTTTGGTGTAATTGTTGCTCAATTTCTTTATGACACTAGAATAAAAAAAACCCACAGATATTTACAAAGGACTTGACACAGATATTGTACAGATATTTTCAGACCCCTGAGGTACTTCCAGCCCTACAAGCAGTTACAACAAAGATCACGTTAGGACAGTTTGCTCCAAGGGTTACCAGGCCAAGCAGCCTGGCCTCTCATCAGTGGAAATCACAAAGAGAAGCTCCTTAGTAAGGCAACTCTGAAACGCAGATGGCATCTCTTAGCATTTTCATTCTATGTGATCCCAGAACTTTAAATTCACAGTGCTTCCAACTGTTTTCCCAGTCTAACACACTTCTCTAACTGTCTTATCACTCCAACATCATCTCCCCTCCTTCCCATTCTCCTCCTTTCCACCTCATACTGTTACAGGTTATATCTAACATAAAACACAGTATCAGAATCGGACTGACAGCACTGCTAGCACTCCATAAATGCAGAGATAAGGATGAGGATGTTGTTATCTATTCATTATTTCAAATGCACCAACAGATCACAGGGGAATGGAGTGCTGAAAAGAATCAAAAAGGAAGGCAGGAGTTGCACTGCATTAATACAAATGGTTTTGTGTTTTAGACAATACAATTCTCACCAGCTCGTTACCTACATAAGACAAGACTACTATGCTTGATAAGCCTCTACAAAGTAAAAAAACCAAGAAAATCACCCCAAAACATTAAAACACCACTTGCTTGAGAAAGCAGCTCAATAAAAAAACTAAGGCCTAATCACTAATGGTGTGATTTTACATGCTGTACTTCTGTATGTCTTCCTGGTTTATTTTTTTCACTCACATATCAAAATTAAGCCAATTAAGTATAAGAAGAAAATGGAGCCTACTTCTCTCCTGTTCACTGAAATTAGGTAAACTCCAGTTTACAAGAAATTACTCACTTATGGTAAGTAACACTGACGATAATTTGCCTCACAATTCTCTGCAGTAAACTGGCCCTGGTATTTATTTTTGTGTGGTGCAGGGAGAAAAAGAGGAGGATGGGAGAACGTTTCAAAGAACAACTACTTACTGCACTTGAGATTTACTCAATGGACAAATTTTATACAACAACATGAAACTTTTTCTCAAACACAGATTGTTACCCTTCAGTAAAGAACACCAAGGTACTGACAAACTACCCTCTGTGGGTTAGGGTTTTGTTTTTTAAACTAGATAAGGCTAGAAATCTACTTACGGCTGAGTGAGGTCACGAGTAATGAAGTCTGAACTTTTGAAGAGGAGGAAAATGTCACTTAGAGCTTTACATTTCAGAGAGCTATTCATTGCAATCCAGTAAGCATCCTACACAGGAAGAAAAAAAAGATTATCCAAAAACGCAGCTTTTCTAGCAGAGAGTAATGCAAGCTATTGATCTATCAGAACTAAACATTATGCAACAGTTGACACACATACAGAAAATGATTTTTGGATTTTGAGGAAAGCTTCATCAGCTGTTAACACAGAATAGTTACGTCTCTTATGAATAGTCTGCTGAAAGTAGACCAAATCTATTCAAAAATGAAGTACATGCCTCACTTCCAAGCACTTTCCCAGAATGCTTGAACACTAATCTCCCTTGAGAATATAATACAAAATCACTTAGGGCATCCACTGTTAAGGTGTAGTTAGAGCACCTAAAAACAGCTAGAGGGAAATTTACTGCCTTTTTAAAAGAGGAGAAATGATTATTTTTCTTTTTATCCCATGTAAGGTTCTCAGCTGATATCCTGAACGAGGAGAGCATGGCACCACACTGCTACCTGGAGCAAAGACAACTAGATGTTATGTAAGACAGACAGTGCTACCTTGCACCAGGCTCACCAAACACCACACCGCTGAGCTCTAATTCACCACAACAATTCGCTCTATCAAACTTAACTGATGTCATTTATCTTTCCCTTCCTTATCAAGCTCACTAGTCTGCTCTATTTTCCAATGCATTAAGATAAACCAAAACATTCTGTGCGATAGCATCTGCTACTAGTTTTTGGAGTCAGCATTCTTACCCTTGGAGCACTCCAGTTTAGCTTAGGAAAAACACTGCCACCTAAGGAACTGATGGCTTCTTCAACTTTAGCTGTAAACTCTGGGAACTCTGGTGCCTGAAGAAGGAACAAGAGCAAGACAAAAAAAAAAAATAATAGTAAATGTCTTATATAAATAGTTAACACAGAACTTGAGTGATAGCTCACTTAACTTTTGGTTTTATAGAGTGTTTCTAAAAAACATTTCAAATAAAATCTTTAAAGTAGCTTAGTAATACAAGCCAACTTGCATCAGAATCAGGACACACTGTGAGGCTACATGCTGGAACTGAAAATTTTGACTTGCAAAGGATATTGCAACAACTGTAAGCATAAGATAGGAGAAAAACAGCCAAGAAGCCATAAACCCCACTCTTAATCTCAAACAATAAAAAAAAACCCTGACTGCTGACCTTTAAAATAATAGGAAAGTATTCGGATGTGTTTCAGACATTTTAAAGATGTACAGGTCTAAAGCCAAGCTATTCCTACCTACATGTGCAAATGTAACCCAAAGGCAACTCCTAGGCTAAAGCCCCCTGAGCTCTAAAACAACAAAGCCTTCACAGCCATACAAGTGACTATAAAAACTTTATACAGTCTTATACATCCATCCTGCAGCCCCTCACAGAGTACACACGCTTTAAATAAATCTAAAAAAGTAAGAAGTACAGCAACCTAAACTGAGCTTCATACATCCCTATCTTTCCTCAGTACATTATCCAGTCTCTGTGGGAAACCACACTTGAAAAACTGGAATAAGCACTTCTTCTACTCCATTTTTAGAGCTTCAGTCAATTCTAAGGAAGAAAAAAGAAAAAAGCATTTCAGTAAGAAGTAAAACTCTTCATGCAGTGCATTCTGACCTCCTCTTGTTCTGATGGAAGCCAGGAGCCATACCACGTATGTAATGCCAGTACATATAAAAACTCACTGAGAAGACATTGCTATCATCCCATTTGATTAATACAAGTGAAAAAAACATTACACAAAAGAAGAGCTCTAAGGCAGCATAAATAAGTTAAATTCTAACACTGACCAAATTCTGGATGTTTGACATTTGACATCCTTTGTTCTAATTCTTCTTCAGGATATAGAAGGGGCAAGGGAAAGAACTTCTACCTCGTGACTCAGGTGGGGCACCAAACAGACATAATTATAGTCACAATTCATACACATTCTTACACAGTCACATTCTTACAGCTCCCTGACAATAAAAGCAGATGGGAAACCAATCATAATCCAGGATTTACCATTAGTGTAATGCGATGATAATAGAAGGGTAGCAGCCTTTGGTTACAGCAAATGAGAACAAACCCAAATGTAGCAGCCACAGGTACAGAAATGAAGGAAAAGAGCTGCTTACCTTTGGAAGGCCTCAGGTAGGCAGGGATCTCCAGCAAGAGATGGCCCCACCTCCATTGCCATCCCTTTAATGAGGTCTGGGAAGAGGTAGATCCTGGCTCCACCCCTTCCAGTCACTCAAGTGCATTGCTTGCACCTGAGCTCCCCTGGGTTACCTTTCCCTCCCTGGGTTACCCTGCCTTCCCACCTGTTGCTCAGTCGCTGTTTCAGGCCATGACTTCACATTTCCACTGCCATTAGGAAAACAGAGTGCCCTAGGCTGCAGAACACACTCCAGCCTCCCCTGCTTTTCTTTATACATCACTGTTCCTATTATCTCCCTATTCAGCTTCCACACTGCTGCCTGATCCATTCCTGTGTTCTGCAGTAACCCTAGGCACAGCTCCCAGCTTTGTGCTTTCTAGATAGGCTGTTTCCTCATTATCACTGCCAGAGTGGTAACATGCATTACCTGGAAGCACAGGAGACTACTCCCATTCACTCTTTATCCCCAGAACAGCCCTTAGTTTGCACACAGAGAAAGCATATTCATCAAGGTGCCTTCAGACTGATTACCTCCTCCCAGATTTACAAGAAGGTACGCGGCACATTGTGAATTTCTACTTCAGATTTTTTTGGTGCATTGCTGTTGGAAATAACCATGGGCACAACCCACACCCATAATCAAACATTTTCAAAGTTGCAAGGTTGATGAAAGACAAAGCACAGCCAGTCTCTGAACAAAAGCCATCCTGTAAGCTTGAAGTTCTCTTCTTCCTCTACCTGTTTTGCTGCTAAATAAGATATTCTATGGTATGGAATATCCCTTAGGGCAGTTTAGGTCAGCTGTCCTGGCTCTGCCCCTTTCTCTATGCTTCCCAACAATTGGGTTGATATTGGAGAGAAAAATGAGGACACAGTCAGAAAAGAGAAAGTCTTGATACTACACAAGGACTGCTCAACACTCAAAATGTTTGTGTTATAAATACTGTTTCAGACAAATCCAAAACACAGCACCATATGGGCAGCTCTGAAGACAACAAACTACATCCCAGCCAGTCCCAGTAAAACTGGAGTTGTAGAGCTGAAATCCACACACAATACACAGTTCCTTACCTGACTAAACTGAAATCACTTGCCCTGTACCCTTCCAGTGGATATAATACATCTTAGGATGTATTTTCATACTGTGTTGTATAAGGTTCCAACCTTAATGATTCTGTGATCCTGATTCTAAGCTGGGCAGAGCACAAAGAGAGCATTAAAACAAGAAAAAGGGGAAAACAAGGCAATAGAAAGCAAGGTACTTAGGAGGAAATAATGGCAAAGGTACAAGAGAAGTTCTGTGAAAACTGAGCTGCAGGGACTTCATTTCTTCTGCATTCAGTTCAATTAAGTAATTGGAAGACAATCAAAGCAGTGAAAATAAAAGGCAGCTATATTTAGACTAATCCTTCAGTTCATTTCCTATATTCTAAAAAGCATGTGATCGTTGGGAATGAAGAAAAGAAGCACTTTATTTTTAATTAAATAAAATAAAGCCAGCAGAACGTTTTTAAGGTTGCAAACACCTACACTGCCATCTAGTGAGAACGATCAGAAAAACGTTAACTGCAGCAGATATCAGTCACTGGCCACAGGTTTCTATCACAAGGCTCAGAAAGAATATTGCTTGCAGACCCACAAGCTGGGATTTTAGAGGACCTTACCTTAAGTGTTGCAGTATTCTCATCATCTGACCACTGTTAAGAGAAGAACAAACCCAAGGTCAATGGCTTCCCGTGACATCGCTTACGAGAACATCAGAATCTACACAGCTTCCTACAACATGTAAAAATCACTGCCCTGATTATTCTGCAGAAAAATACGTCTCCAATTATTACAGTTACAAATTAAGACAGGAAAAATTATGTACATTCAATAGAAGTACTGTTGTGAAGTACAAATAAGAGACAATACCCATATAAGACGATTGCAATTCATATACAAGACTGCAGAACTCTGTAGAGCCTTTCCTACCTCAACTTTTGCCTCCCACACTTCTATCATTAAGGCTTGTGAAGGTCTTGGAGAATATACCCTATGAGGAGAGACTGAAGGAAGTGAGGCTGTTGAGTCTGGGGAAAAAGAGGCTGAGGGGAGACCTTACTGCTCTCTTCATCTGAAAGGTGCTCACAGCAAGAGCAGGGTTGGCCTCTTCTCCCTGCTGACAGGTGACAGGATGAGGCCTTAAGTTGCACCAGGATAAGTTTAGGTTGGATATCAGGAAAATCTTTTCAGAAAGGGTTGTTCAGCACTGGAATGGGCTCTGCAGGGAGGTGGTTGAGAGACCATCCCTGGATGTGCTTAAAAACCATTTGGATGTGGTGCTCAGGGACACGATGTAGCAGTGGGTTGTTAGTTAGGGTAGTATGGTCAGGTTGTGGTTGGACTCAGTGATCTTTAAGGTCTTTCCCAACCTGAGTGATTCTATGATCCTATGATTAAACCCACAATCCATTAGTCCTCGCTTACCTTCCTCTTTCTCACCCCTTTTGTAATTCCTGTCACCTTGCTTTCATAACACTTTCCAGCATTTTTTAATTCTGCAATACCTCTCTGAGTTATTACAGCCTTAAGGACTTTCATTATTTCTTGACGTAACTCCTCTAAATACATTCCTTCTAATCTTTCATGGCATAAAACAGCAATATTTTCCACTTCCATTATCTCACAGCATTCCCTGGTCATTATTAGAAATGTAATTAACAAGAAAGTGTGCGAGAGAGCACAGAAACACTTCAAACTTTTCTTGATGTCACAGTACAAATAATTATGTTTGTAAACTTCTTCTAAGGCAAATAACATGTGATAACCATTTTGGTGAAGTACCGTCCTCACTTGTAAAGCATGCAAAACCAGTTACATGTTAACATCAAGTCTCTAAAGGAAAAACAAAGTTGAGGTATTACTGACCTGTATTTCTTCTGCATCATCACTCCCCTCTGGGGTTTGAGTTGGTGGATCTTCTCTGAGCCAAAAAATGAGCAGAGAAAAAAAAACCAAATGAGCACTGGACTTTGAATTGACCACATGTATTATAATTCCACAGCAACTACCAACTGCTGATCTCAGAATGCTTTCCTAAGAGGATTAAGCCTCAAAATCTCAACAAAGAAAACCAGAGCAAGCCAGTACAGAAAAACTGAAGACAAAACACCCCAACATTGGACTTGCACCCTGTCCAAAACACTGGGATTCTTTCTAATGAAGAAACCACTTTCTGCTCTGAACACACCATAACCCAAGCTTTTCCACACCCTGTTAATCATTCTTTTTGATCTTTTCTGTACTCACGCAGTACCACTAACTTGTTTTTTTAAAAGATCAGCTTAAATTATGCTTTGCCTTCACACTCCTTTTCAAGCAAAAAAAAGACCTGAAAATTCAAGTTTCAAATGCTGACCCATAGACTGTTGGTTCTGAAAACAAAACACCCTCACACTTTGCTCACAGAAGATCCTACTTGAAGTGGTTACGCAGTCATTAGCTTCCTCCTCGAAAGTTCCTTTTTCTACACAGATGAGATGTGCTGCTGTACACATTAGCAGCTCTGGGAGAAAGCACTTGAGTGCAAATACTCCCTTGAAATTTGAAGTGACTTCTGAAGCTTTTTTTTAGCCAATATGACTGAGTGGTCTTTAAGGCAGAAGAAGAACAAGAAGACAAGTTAGCATAGCAATCAGGTTAAGTTCAAATCTCTGCAGCTAAGTGCTGCTAGCAAAAATTCAGTTCTTCAACAAGCCACATTTCTGCAGTACATTCTTTAATGCACTTTCACAGGGATCAAACTGTCCATTCACTTTTTGAAATCTAGAGCTCAGATGAGAGGCTCACTGAGGTTTAAAATTCATGACAGCATTGACTGTAAGAAGATCACATTGACTTTTAGCACTTCCAGCTAAGAATGTTCAACTCAAGAGAAAAAATGAGGTTTTAGGAGGGAATTTTAAATTGGAATTATTCAATATAACTGAAGTCAATTATACAGATGTCCATTATTCCACTGAGATACCAAACCTGTTCATACAGCACAGCTGTGAACTCAGAGCATCTGTTTCAGCTTTTCTGAAGTCTGATTACAAATTAAATGGCTGTTATTAAATAAATTACAATGTTCTGCAGAAGGCAGCAACGTTGCTTCTTATCCAAAATGGTTTTAGAGATAATTCCCACTTTTCACCTTTACAAGGCATTTAAACAGCTTCAATTTTGTGTGAATTGGCTCCTGAGAAATTAGACCTAGCTCCCTTATATTCACAGTCTAATTGGTTGCTCTGTGGAAGACAAACTCCTCTGAGTCTGGTTACCAGCAAGATGCATGCATGCAATAATCATTTTATAAGGGAGTTATATGGTAAGATTCTAAGCCAAAAACAAAGAATAAAGCCTGGGTTCATATAAGTTGTTTTTCATAGACACCACTCTCACTCTTCATTCAGAATGTTAGCATTGGTATACAGGCAGTACATTCAGCCTCATCATATGCACTGATTATAGGCAAGCAAATGATTATATCACATCAGTAATTAGTAAGATTTCATATTTGATTTACATTATTGAGAATTCAACTCATATAAGGACACTCCATCCCTATATGAGGCTGCAGGCATGGGAATGCTGCAGCACTGTTCAAGGCACTGAGCTGCAACCAACTGTACCAAAGCAACCAAACACCTTCAGGATGGGCACTGACACCTGAGAACTGTTAGACTCTGGAAGGACAAATAAAAAGAACTGCCCCTACCTAGTCTGGAATCACACACATCGTATGGATTTTGGGATCTGCATTAAGCATTAGCAAGTAAATTTTACTAATAGCACTAGTTTGTACACACACGTTCACACAGTACAAGGTTTACTGCAGTGAGATGGGTCAAATTTACAAAATTAATTATGTAAGTTACAATAAGTGAACACAAATACCATTGTTACAATAAAACAGCACTAATACTTGCATGGTGGACAGTAAACACTCTTTACCTTCCAGAAACCACAAGTGTTCCATCATCCAGCAAATATTCTTTCACATTCTCTGGTAGGGGAAGTATGACACTAGGAAAAGAAAAACAGAATTACTTTAATAATTTATTAATAACATCACTTACTAAAACAGTTAAATAATTATTTTTTAATGGAACATACCATAGTAGTACGCTTTCTTCTCTAACACTATGAAAATACAAATTTCTATTGCTTCCCCTCACTTTCTCCCTTTCTCCCTAAAGGAAAGTATGGGAGAAAGGCAGAATTTTTTTTTATAAAATGAACAAAACCACTCTAACTTTACCAAATGCTAGGAAATACAAATAAAGGATGTGTGGACAGTGCAGGGGGACAACATGTTGTTCAAAATAAAGTTCTTCCGTCAGAGATGCAAATCTAAATTTGTCTATATCAACATAGTGTTCCAAATATTATAGAATCCTTTTAATCAGAATGGATTCCCCAAGGCTATCTAGTCCAACTATCCTGCAATGCACAGGAACACCTACAGCTAGATCAGGTTGCCCAGAGCCCCACCCAGAGCCTAACCTTGAAAGTCTCCAGGGATCGGGCATTCACCACATCTCTGGGCAACCTGTTCCAGTGCCTTGCCACCCTCAATGGGAAAGACTTTTTCCTTGTATCCAACTTAAATCTCCCCTCTTTAAGCTTGAAACCATTTCCCCTTGTTCTGTCACCACAGACCCTGCTAAAGATCCTGTCCCCTTCTTTCTTACAGCCCCCCTTTAGATCCTGGAAGGCCACTCTCCGGTCACCTCACAGCCTTTTCTTCTCCAGATTAAACAGCCCCAGCTCTCTCAGCCTTTCCTCATAGGAGAGGCGTTTTATCGCTTGGATCATCTTTGTAGCCTCTTTGTAGCCCTCCCCTCCAGCAGGTCACATCTCCCCTGTACTGAGGACTCCCCATCTGGATGCAGCACTCCAAATGAGGCCTCACGAGCACAGGGCAGTAGGTCAGGATCACCTCCCTCGCCCTGCTGGCTTCTTTTGATGCAGCCCAGGATACAGTCGGCTTTCTGGGCTGTGAGGGCACGCTGCTGGCTCACATCCAGCTTCCCATCCACCATTACCCCAAGCCCTTATCAGCAGAGCTGTGCTCCATCCTTACATCCCCCTTCTCTTACTGCCAGGGTGCTGCCACAACCCAGGCACGAGACCTCGCGCTTTGCTCTGTTCAACCTCACGCGGCTCAGCTGGGCCCGGCGCTGCAGCCCGCCCAGCTCTCCGGATGGCAGCCCGTCTCTGGCGGTGTAAACACGCACGGCTCTCACTAAACGAAATCACAGACCGAGTTGGGAGGGACCCCAACGTTCAGCTGGCTGCAGCGCGCCTCTTTGCCACCCACTAAAAAGGCAGCAGATCAGGCCGCCAGAGCCCAACCTGACCTTGACTGAGCTGCCCAAACACTGACGTCGGCAAGCATGAAAATTCATGAAACGATTAAACATTTTGATCACAGAGTCGCTGCCTTAAGATCCGCCCAGGCTTTCCTTGAGTCCTTCCTTCCTTCCTGACCGCCAGCACCGCCCCGCTCCCAGCCCCTCACCTGCGGATGGTGACGGCGCGGAACAGCGGGTACCACACGGAGAACTGGCAGCGTGCCACCTGCTCCTTCTTCATCCTCTCCCGCAGCCCGAGCCGCTCTTTTCCCCGCCGTTCCGGAAACTCCTGCTTTCCCCGGAACCTCTTCAGCCGTTCCCGGAGCCGCCCGGAGCTCTGCCGGCTGCGCACACGCCCACCCCGCCCCGCCCCGCCTTGCTCGCCGCCGCCGCCTCCGCCTCGCCGTGCAGTTGTGAGGAAGACGCTGGCTGTAAGCCCCGTGCCCTCACGCTAAGGCCAGCTTGCTCCTTCTCATTGCTTTTCTTAAATCTGAGGCTGTCCTCAGCTCTCCTAAGATTCCACTAACCCAATTCTGCTTGTACAAACCTGCCTTTTTCTCTACATTTATATTTTTAATCTGTAGGGCTGGTTAATTATCTCTGCTTTATTTAGTCCTGAGTGGTGTTTAGCAGTCACCCACACGGCTCAATACAAGAGCAGAAATGAAGCGTTTCTCCTGCTGCTTGTCTTTCTCCTGTCAGCTTCTCACCAGTTGATTCTGTTACTAGAAAGGTTTTGCTGTAATACAGCTGCAGCTTGGTAACAAATCAGTGTGTGAAAGGCACTGTGGTCACATTAGTGGTTTGTACCTCGCGTGCTGCTGGATTCGTTGCTCGTAACCAGCGCATCATGGTGTGGGTTGGAAGGGAGCTGCAGGATGGTGTTGGATCACCTGGATCCAAGTCCTGCTGCGGGCTGGTTGAAAAGAGATTTAGGAAAGGTAATCTTCCTACATCCGTAAAACCTCTAGGTAGGACTGGAGCGGTAAATCCCCCCTGCTGTAAAGGGGGGGAAGCAGGTCCAAGACCACCTTGTGAGACTGAACGTGTACGAGTCTATGGGGCTGGATGGCGTGCATCCCAGGGTTCTGAGGGAGCTGGCTGAGGTGGTTGCTGAGCTGCTCTCCATCATATCTGAAGTGTCGAGGCAGTCAGGTGAGGTCCCAGATGACTGGAGGAAGAGTCACATCACTCCCATTTACAAGAAAGGAACCAAGGAGGACCCAGGGAACTACAGGTCAGTGAGTTTCACCTCTTGCCTGGGAAGATTATAGAACAGATCTTCCTGGAAGACATGCTTGATCACACGAGGAATGAGTGTGTGACTGAGACAGCCAGCACAGCTTCACCAGGGGGAAGGTAATGCTTGACTAGTCTGGTGGCCTTCTATGGAGTGAAGGCATTAATGGACAAGTAAAAGGTGACTGATATCATTTACCTGGACTTGAGCAAGGCCTTTGACATGGTCCCCCACAGCATCCTTATCTCCAAATTGGAGAGATGTGGATTTGATGGGTGGACCACCCAACAGATAAAAAAAATTGCTTAAAAGGCTGCAGACAGAAGGTGGTCATTGTATAATCAATGAATATACAGGTGTTATAATTACCAAACATAAGAGAATTTGGCTAAGCAGATTATTACACCAAAGAAAGAATAGATAAGAGTGCTTACCCTTGTCTGGAGCTTACTGTAAAAGTCCAAAGGATGAATGTCCAGAAAGAGATCCTTCCCTACTGGTAGTCAGCTCTTACATGGGTCTAGGAGAGGTGGAGCCAGGCTCCACTCCTTCCAGCAGCACAGGTGAACTGCCTTCACCTGTGCTCCTAGAGCTGACTCATTGCTCACCTCAGGTGATCAGTCAGAGGTTCAGGCCATGATTCAGCAGTTACCATACAGGTCATCAATTGCTCTATATCCAACCCTGGCCATTCTGTGATTCTGTGAATCAATCCATCTGCTGGGAATTGGATAGGCCCCAGTAGCTTGGCTACTCTGTGAGCTGATTCACAAACCACAGCTGGTTTTAGATCTTAATGTTTGTGAAGGGTAATTTAGAAACTGATGTCAAAAAGATGATGCTTGGAAGGCACTCGCCCAGTAAGGGAACAAGTAATGAGCGTGAAGTTATACATTTCATAACAGTATGACTCTTGCAGGTCTGAATTTGAGCCCCACATGGTGTGAGTGGAACAAGTAGCATAGTTTGGAATAATACAGGAATACTAACTATCAAAGTCATCAGAGAAGGTAGAAGCAAGCCAAGCTTTTCTTCTCTAATTTTTAGTTCAAATACTATCGATTCATGCTAAGAGGTTGGTAAATGTGGACATTCTAATGTATTCTTAAAGTTTTACTGATAACTGTTAAATATTGAAATTCGCAGATCATAAGTCAAGTAATCAGGATCCTGCCTGCTGTGTCAGCTGCATTTTTAACTGAAATGCTGCAATGGTAGTTTTATGAGAACCTTCCTGTTTGTGGGCTGTGAGACAACAGCTGTTCTGAAACCTCAGGCAGGGATTTACATTGCAGATTTAGATACAATTTTCACTTGCAACAAATGTTTATGAAAGAACTGTGCTGCCACTTTTTCCAGGGCACACTTGGCTTATGTGAGATAGCAGAATTACAGCCTTAGACTTAACAGAGAGATATTTCAACTCTCAATTCTATATTCAGTTGGATTTGAAAATACATATATATGTTTTTGTTAGATCTCTTTAAAACGTCACTCATATGTGGAGTTATTGCACCCACTAGTGGAAGAGATCAACACCACGTAATCTGGTACAGATGAGTCTCATTTTTGCCTATTTTAGATTTTGGTGCTATTTCATATAAGCGAAGCTGTCTTCAACAACTTCTTGTAATTTTAGTCACAAGTTAGTCCTGAATTTGTCCACTGCAGAGAAGAACAAGCTGTGTTGAAAAGAGCTTCTGGCATGAGATAAGGTCCTTGGATGTACTTGTAATTGATATAGTAGGTATTCATGCAGTTATACTAAGCACTAATAATGCTGCATGGGGAGGGTGGGAGATTTTGGATACAACTGTGGCCATCTATGTTTGAGAGAGTGATACACTGATGCTGGCAAGTCAGTGTAGAAGTACTATGATGAAGAATGGAACGGGATTTCCTTTGAGAGGAGACTAAAAGAGGAAGACTTATTCAGTCTGCTAAAGGAATAGTGATATGGTTCACTGTACTCTTTTTGACTGGTACATATTGTCAATCAAAAAAGCAGTAATTCTTTCCAAACACTGGAGATCTATTTTTTTGTATTTAGGGATGTGATTTTTTTTTTATACTGTTGAAACTGGATACTTAGGGCATCACATAGGGCCTAGCTGGCTGTTTCGTGTAGACCAGGGAACTCTTAGAGCCCGTTTGCTGGGCTTATTTTGCATGTGTTCGGTGGAAATCTTGATACTGTGTGTTAGAGTTACAGCAAGATAATATGGTTATTGTCCAGCCACATCTCTTAGGTGAGGAGGGCTTGATACATTGTGGCTTAAGAACAAAACAGCTAACTGTGAACTAATACAAGACAGACATTGTAAGAAAGTGAGGTTATAGAACAGATTTTCGTAGTAGTAGTAGAACAGGAAAGCTACATAGTTTTAAGCTTTGCTTGTTAAAGAAAGGTTTATGCAATGTTTTTGAAATGACAGAATTTGATTTAATTAGTCAGGGTTCCTTTACAAGCTGTGTGATACCTAAACGCAATTTGAAAGCTTAATGGCCACCCTGATGGACTGCATCCAACAGTCTTAAAGAAGAGCTTCCCCTGTGTACTTGGTGAGGAAATGGATTTATATACATTCATTTTAATCCTGCTGATGAAGAGAAATATTTTGTACTATCTACTCCACACTACTTTAAAGAATTAAATACTAATCTTATATGTGAGAAAGGTGTAGATTCATGCTTATCAATGTCTTACAGATGAACAGAAACCCAGACTTGCAGGCCACAACCTTCTTGGCAAATGCATGCACCCCAACACCTCCCAATGAACAAAGGAGCCATCCAGACTTTTGGCTGTGGGGTTGCTGTGACATGGGTGCAAGTGTGCCTAGCTTTCTTTTGAGCAGGTGGCCAGGTTGTGAGAGGAAATCACCAAGCAGCATAGTATCCAGGAATCTGAGGGAGATTGACCGTGCAGTGACACGGGCAGACTGACAGCCCTGTCTTAAGTTCATGGAAGGGAAAGAAGCAAATCCAGCTTCCGTCTATGAGAAGATAGACTGCAATAACAAGCAAGATGAGGGAGACTGGACTCATTTCTGCTTGGAACAGAACAGATGGAAGGCTCTGGGACTGAAAAAAAGCAGAGGGTGCCGGTAACAGTCAAGACCCAGGAAAGGACAACCAAATGAAGTTGATCCAGCCAAGCACCTATTACTAGAACCAGTGCCACCAAAAAAGGCAAAGGTCATTAGTAACAAAGGATCCTCACTGAGAGGCACTGAGGCACCCAATTGCCACTTGGACAACCTCTTTAGAGAGGTTTGCGACCTGTCAAGGGCCCACATTTGTGATATCAAGTGGAATTTATCAGGCCTGAGAAAGCCAGAGCACAGGAGCTCTCTATCCCCCATACATAAAATAAAGCAGGAGAGGCAGCAGGCCAGCATGGCTGAACAGGGACCTGCTGGTTAAACTGAGGAATAAAGAGGAAATACACAGGCAGTGGAAGCAGAGATGTGTGGCCTGGGAAGAGTACAGAGATGCCATCCAGACATGCAGAGATGAGATCAGGAAAGCCAAGGCACAGATGGAACTGAGCCTGGTAGGGATACAGTAAGTAACAAGAAGGGATTCTGTAGGTACACTAGTCAGAAGAGAAAGGTCCGGGAGAGTGTACTCCCTCTGCTAAATGAGAAAGGGGTGCTGACAAAAATGGGCAAGAAGGCTGAGGTTGTCAATGGTTCTTTGCCTCAGTTTTCATTGGTAGTCAGGCTTTCCATGTCTTTCATGTCTCTGAACTCACAGGTGAGGTCAGGGGAGCAAAATCCCTCCCACTGCAAGAGAAGAGCAAGTTCAGGATCACCAGATGAGACTGAATGTGGGATGACATACAGCTCAATGTCCTGAAATAACTGGCTGATATGGCTGCCGAGCCACTCTCCATCCTATTCAAAAAGTCGTGACACTCAGGTAAAGTCCCCAGTGACTGGAAAAAGGGAAACAACAGTCCAATTTTTTTAAGAAAGGGAGAAAGGAAAATTCAGGCCAGTGAGCCTCACTCTGTGCATAGGAAGATCACAGAGCAGATCCTTCTGGAAGTTATGTTAAGGCTCATGCAAGATGAGGAGGTGATCTGGTGGCC